TGCCTACTGTCTGAACTTCATCAAACTTGGTGTGGTAATTATGGAAAATGGGTAGGAAGTGTCTTATGATGTGTCCTGTGGCCAAAAAAGCAGCTGGGGTCCAGAAAGAAGCCTGGAGCGTGGTGGCGGTTGGGTAGTGGAGGTCAGCTGCTGGGGCTGGGTCCCTTGGGGTGGGGAGGGCTCTTGCCTGTGAGTGAAAACAGCCTGACACAGAGTCCGGACTATTCACTATAGGTATTAATATCTGCATGTTGAATGAACAAATGATGGATAGTTTTATAACAACTATGAAAGAGGTCTTAAAAAGAAATGCTTTAACCTAGAAAAAGATATTAAAACATTAGAAATTAAAATTCATATAATTAAAAGCTCAAAGTCTGGTTTCATCCATCTATCCTCTATCCCAGAGCATTGCATTATATGCTTTTTTTTCGCTGGTATTCTTAAAAAGGAGAGAAACAAAGCTCCACATCTTTAATTCATTTAGATTTGTGTGTCTCTGAGAACTAACATGCCTACAGGGATGTGGGTTACACTGTTCAGATGGATCTAACTGCTGCAGGAACCATTCCTGAAGCCTAGAGATACCCTCATGCCCCAGCGATGTAGTGATGTGCCAATCTGCAGGGACCTGAGGCTACTGGCAGAGCTGAGCTCTCAGGCAAATAATGATCAGTCTTTTGCATTTAAACTCTCATTCCTTTGGAAGGAAAGAGAGGGTTAATTTCCTTTGTGCAAAAGCTCCAATGTACTTTATATGTATTATATGAGGCAGAGTCTGTGGGTCTTATCACTAAATTTCCTTACTACTTGCAACCTAAATTGAGGACCTTCTTTAATAGTGGAATTATCCATTTTTCACAGTCTCATTTGCAGCAAATAGGAGAACCAAAATAAAATTCCATTTCTGAGACTAAGAAAAGATAATATAACTAAGTAGAAGAAAATCAGGACAGCCATTCAACTGTAGCTAGTCAAACTCACAAAATAATGGGAGAAAAATGAAACCAGAAAGAGGTTTGGTTAACTATTAGTTTAATAAGACTGCTGAAACAAAGTAACTGAAACAGGGTGGCTTGAAGCAATAGAAACTTGGTTCTGTTAGGAGAAGAGAGGAGATAGGAGAGGGGTCTTGGAATGATTTTAAGACATACCAATTCTAAAAAAAATCAAACTAGACTGAACTTGAAAATCATTCTTATCATCAGCACATAGGAAAGCAGATGGAAAGAGTGGTAATTTAGAATGTCTACTTAGGCTAGGCTAGATCTTTTAACCCAAATAGTTTTCAATCTTTTATAAATTATAAATAAAAAACATAAAAATTTGCAAGATGTTATGAACAGTGTTGATATACATTGAGCACTGAATTTACTTTTTTGTTTTGTTTTGTTTTAAAGTTCGGCCCACACCCAGTAATGCTCAGGTGCTACTCTTGGTTCACTGCTCAGAAGTTACTCATTGGTACTCTGGGGCCATTTAATGCCAAAGATCATACCAGGGCTCTTGTGTACAAAGCATGTACTCTATCTAGTCCATGAGCTCTATCCAGAGCCCCTAAATAATGAGTTTGATTGCATTAAAAACATATTCATATGCAATGATTAAATATATATTTATTATATATTTATTTCATAGTAATTAAATTAAATAACATTTATTTATTTTAATTAAATGATAAATAAATTATTGTTTATATTTATTATATTTTCATATATTTATTATTTATATTTAAATAGTGATATACATTTAAAAAATGTGAAAAAGAGAAGTTTCTTAAAAAATGTTAAAATCAGAATGAAATTATCAGTCGTAACATTATAATATTTGTTTCAGTGTTTTGCTTGATTTAGACTATGGATTTTTTTAAGGGTAGTTTTTTTTTTTTCAGAAAATTATCTCTAGGAAGAAAAAGAACTTTAATATTCAAACTAATGTATTTATGCATATAAATGTAATCCTTCCGATTAGATTGATTAGCATTAACAGTGTCAATAAGAGGCAGGAAATGAGAAATAAAGACAGAAAAATGAAAGACAAATATAGGGAGTGGAATCAGGGAATTTCTCTCCTTTAAAACTTCCAGATAAATGCTCTACAATTTCCTGGCCTCAGGGAATGTGCTTTTATCTCTGTAGCTCTATGTTTTTTGTAATTTGACTTATCATTTGTTCCGTAGATTAAAAAAGCATTGTTTCCTTTGGTCTTGCAGCACAGAGGCTGCTGACTCCCCCGCCCTAGAAATTCTGCCCATGAATCACTGGTACAGTTTCTCTCTGAAATGAAGTATGATTTTGTGTCTCAAGCTGCCTGACCTTTCATCAGAGGACAGGAACATTTTAGTAGATGTTCTTCACCATAAAGAGCCACACTGAGATCAAACTGGGACTTCTCAAACCAAAGCTAAAGAAAAATCTTTTTTTTTTCCTCCCTAGCTAATTTCACTGGTGCTTCTTCTTTTTTTTTTTTTTTTAATTTTTATTAGTGCAACACCATGAGGTACAGTTGTAGACTTACAAATTTTTGTGCTTGGGTTTCAGTTATACAATGATCAAGTACCCATCCCACCACCAGTGCCCATTCTACACCTTCACCAATCCCTATATCCCTCCCACCACCCCTCCCCCATCCCACACTGCCTCTGTGGCAGGGCACTCCCTTTTATTCTCTCTCTCCTTCTGGGTGCTGTGGTTTGCAGAAGAGGCATTGGGTGGCAATCATGTTTGGTCTATAGTCTACTTTCACCATGCATCTCCCATCCTGGTCGGAACTTCCCAGCACCCTTTATTTGGTGCTCTCTTCTCTATCTGAGCTGCCTTTATCCCTAGAGTGTGCGGCTGGCCTCTAAACCATGGAGTGAAAAACCTGGTATTTATCACAGCTGTTCTTGGGTGTTAGTCTCTTATTTTGTTACTTTATGTTACCCAGATGAATGCAATCTTTCTATATCTATCCCTCTCTTTCTGGCTCATTTTGCTTAGCATGATATTTTCCATGTAGTACCACTTGTATGTAAATTCCATGACTTTGTCTTTTCTAACAGCTACATAGTACTCCATTGTGTAAATGTACCAAAGTTTCTTTAACCAGTCATCTGTTCTCGGGCACTCAGGTTTTTTCCAGATTCTGGCTATTGTAAAGAGTGCTGTAATGAACAAACAAGTGCAGATGTCACTTTGACTATACTTTTTTGCCTCTCTGGGATATATTTCCAGGAGTGGTTGTTAGAATGCTGATCGTGATCTCCCTTCAATGACAAAGAGACTCCAGAGACTGCAAACAGCAAGCAAGGTTTATTGTAAGACTGGCTAGCCAGGGTCAAGCCGCCCACACAGACACACAGGTGAGGCAAGACCCTGAGCTTCTTCAAAGGGGATCTTATATAGGCCTTCACTGGCCGTTACAACAAAGCCCGCACATTTCATAGCCAATAGATTTGTAACAACATATACTTTCTTAACCAATCCATTTAAAAGTACATCACTCCTTAGCCTATAGATTCAAAGATCAGCATCTCCGTACATAGGCATTGTGATTAGTGAGTATCTGGTAACTCAGACATTTGGTTATTACCTGGATCCCTTTGATTCTCAGCTCATGGCTCCTGCATTCTGGTGGAGGTGGATAAGGGAAAAGTTCCTAGCAGAGGTAACAGATAAGGAAGGGCCAACAAATGGTTTCAGAATTTACATCCCAATAAGGAAGGGTCAACAAACTGAGACAGAATTTACATCCCAATTAGGAGTAGTCAACAAATGGAGACAGAATTTACATCTCAAGGCTTTACCAGGGAGGAGGCAGGTAAGGAAGAGTTACTAATTAAGCAGAGTTCAGCTCTGGAATTTCTCTCAGGGTCCCAAGGGACCTTACAGTGGTATTGCTGGGTCAAATGGGAGCTCAATTTCTGATTTTTTGAGAATCGTCCATACTGTTTTCCAAAAGGGCTTAACCAGTCAGCCTTCTCACCAGCAGTGAAGTAGGGTCCCTTTCTCACCACATTCGCGCCAGCACCGGTTGCTTTTGTTCTTGTGGATGTGGGCCAGTCTCTGTGGCGTGAGATGATATCTCATTGTGGTTTTGATCTGCATCTCCCTGATGATTAATGATGTGGAGTATTTTCTCATGTGCCTTTTAGCCATTCAGCTTTCTTCTTTGAGAAAGTTTCTATTCATATCATTGCCCCATTTTTTGATGGGGTTGGATGTTTTCTTCTTGTGGATTTCAACCAGTATTTTGTATATCCTTGATATCAACCCCTTGTCAGATGTGTATTAGGCTGAATATCCTTTCCCATTCTGTAGACTGTTTTTGTATTTTGGTCACTGTTTCTTTGGAGGTGCAGAAGCTTCTTAGTTTAAGATATTCCCATTTGTCTATCTCTGTTTTCAATTGCTTGGCCAGTGGCATGACATCTTTGAAGATATCATTAGCTTCAAAGTCATGGAGGGTTTTGCCAACTTTTTCTTCAATGTACCTTATGGATTCCAGTCTGATGGTAAGGTCTTTAATCCACTTTGATACTACTTTTGTACATGGAGTTAGGCAGAGATCTGAGCCCACTTTTTTACATGTAGCCGTCCAGTTTTGCCAGCATAATTTGTTAAAGAGGTTTCCTTGCTCCACTTCACTTTTCTTTCCCCCTTATCAAAAATCAGGTGGTCGTATTCTTGGGGGAAGATGTCAGTATATTCATTCCTGCTCCATTGGTCTACAACTCTGCCTTTGTTCCAGTACCATGCTGTTTTAATTAGTATTGCTTTGTAGAGAGTTTGAAGTTAGGAAGGTTGATTCCTCCCATTTTCTTTTTCCCAAGAATCGCTTTAGCTATTCGTGAGGGCTTATTGTTCCATATAAATTTCAGGAGTGTTTGCTCCATTTCTTTGAAGAATGTCATGGGTATCCTAATAGGGATCACGTTGAATTTGTATAGTACTTTGGGAAGTATTGCCATTTTGACAATGTTAATTCTCCCGATCCATGAACAGGGGATATTTTTTCATAAAAATATGGAACGCTTTATGAATTTGCGTCTCATTCTTGTGCAGGGGCCATTCTAATCTTCTCTTTATCGTTCCAATTTTAGAATACGTGCTGCCGAAGCGAGCACTCACTGGTGCTTCTTAACAAAGATCAGGACAGATTTGGGTTATGGGTCAAAGTGTTGGAAGTCAGTGTTACTGGGGGGGACTCTTTGCAGTGAAGTCCACAGGATGAGTTCTAGTATACTTGTTATTGTCCCTTCTGCTAGAATTCCTTTATATTTTCCCCTTACCATTGCTCACAACTTCCTTCCTTTTAATTTATATATTATATGAAAGTGGAGTTAGACAAAAATCACTCAACATAATTTAAAGGAAAATAAGACTTATTCTGTGATCACAGTTCAGAAATGTCCTCAGCGAATTTATTGCTCTTGAGTTCTCACAGAAACAGATGTTCCTGCCCAGAGACTCAGCATTCAATGGGGTGGAAATTTTACATTCAACCTTGTTTCCAAAGGGATTCTCTCTGTGCTTTTGATTCTAAATCTAGCTCAAGTTTAATGTGGATCAAAGCACAGTCAGCTCAGTGAGTTGCGCCTTTCAAGGCAGTTGAAAACTTTTGCAATGATAACAAAAAATAAGTCAATATGAACCAATGTTCACATGAATATATAGTCTCTTAAAGTTTTTAGTGATGGTCTTTGACTAAGATGTTGGCAAATGCTTTAGAAGGTGAAATCTGGACAATGATCACAAACATTCAGAGGAGTAGTCAGGGAAGGGTTGCGCACTGCCTTTGGGTGGGAGGCCTATGTGGTTGGCATCCTCTGAAAATCATCAACTCAGTCCACCAGGCTGAGTTAGCATGTTCCTCCTTTATATTCCTTGTTTCATAGGCAAAGGAGGATAATTCTTTGATCAGAGGACTGTAACCCTGGTCAAATCTTGAAAAGATAGTTCAAAGGGCTGGAATGCAGTTTCTGCATGCAGGGCACTGGGTTCTGTTTCTGGCTCTGCATGGTTCTGTGAACACTTCTCAGCACTAAAGTGAGAGTAGCTTACGGAAATGCCCCAAACTCCAAATTAAGTTCTCAGCAAATTTCTTTAGCAAGATGGAGAAACCAAAATCACTTGAAGTGGCACTGAAATTGGGAATCTTTGAAAGTGATTTCTAGAAGCCAACTGAGTATAGAAGCACACAGATGTAGTAAGGACTTTCCACAGTAAAATATTAGGGAAAACGTTTTCAAAGAAGAGAATAAGACATCTTGGAGAGCGAGAGAACTGATTATGGCAAGAAGGTAGGAAACATTTCCCCCTTCCAAAACCTAGAGGATATTGCATACAGATAACAAAGCTATCTTGAAAAAAAGATGGCTTTACTTGAGGCAGGGACAAGAAAGAAGAGAAAAAGCAAGAACAATAAATAGGGTGAGGTGAAGAACCCAAGTTCATTTTAAAGATTCAGTTTAGGAATTTAAAAAGTTTTAATTTAAGAATTTTAAAAGAATTTAAAAATTTTCCTCATAATTAAGGTGTTCTTAAAATAAATCGGGTTCAGTGCTGGGAGACAGTGCAGCAGTTAGGGCACATGCCTTGCATGCAGATGACCCAGATTTGTTTCCCCGCACTGTAGCCCCTTGAGCACTATCTGGATGGCTGAGGCGATCCTTGGTACTGCAGGAGCCAAGCAGCACCACATCCTGGGCCATTGCATTGAACTGTTAGCCAGTTTGACTGAAAATCACAGATGGGGTCCCTGGACTTGGGGACCCCTCACTCCACTAAAAAAAAGGGAGTATGATGTAGATAAAATCACTCTGTGGGTGAAAGGGACACTCTAGAAGAGAATTTAGGAGAAACAGGTTTAAGTTAAGGTGATGGTGGATGGTACCCTCCAAGGGCTTCAATCTTACTAAAATAAAGCTCATTTCCTTTTTCCCTCCCTCCTTCTTTTCCTCCCTTCCTCCCTTCCTTCCCTATTTCCTTCCCACCCTCCATCCCACCCTCCTCCTTTCCTTTCCTCCTTCCTTCCTTCCTTCCTTCCTTCCTTCCTTCCTCCCTCCCTCTCTCCCTCCCTCTCTCCCTCCGTCCCTCCCTCCCTCCCTTCCCTTCCCTTCTTTCTGACCCCTTCTCAAGTAAAATAATATATATATGTATATATATATATATATATATATATATCATGGCTAGCGCTGTTATCTGTATGCAATATCCTCTCGGCTGTGAAAAAATGCCATTCCCTGCCTTGTTGCCAAATTCAGACTCTCCTCTCCCCTCCCCTCCCTTCCCCTCCCCTCCCCTCCCCTCCCCTCCCCTCCCCTCCCCTCCTCTCCTCTTCTCTCCGCTTAATTATGGCTCTGTGCCCAGGGATCACTCCTGGCAATCCTTGGGGGACCATATGTGGTAGCGAGGATAGAACTATGTGAATTACAAGAGCCTTAAATTCTGTACTGTACTGTGGTCCCTCCTTTTTTAATTTACCTGATATTTCTTACACTGTGAGGTATATCTTATGCCTATATGTTATTTATATATTAATAAAATATGTTGTTTATGTTTTTTTTGGAAACTATTTAAAATTCAAAGCACAAGGATTCTTGGTTGTCTTTTTTTGTTTTGTTGTTTGGGCCATGCCAGGGTTTACTGAGGGCTCTGTACTCTAGGATCACTCCTTGTGGTGTTCATGGGATCATATGTGGCTCTGAGCAGCCAAATAGGGAATCAAATCAAATTATCTATGTGCAAGGCAAGCACTTTAATCCCCGTGCTGTCCCTCTGGACAGTACTTGGTTTCAAAAATATGCATAACAGAAAAAAACAACTCTTGGAGACATAATATATGCCAATACACAACACACCCTGGGTCATGTTTACAATATGAGTTATCAATCCTTTTCTTAAACAGAATTAATATTTTTTAAAACATCAGAATCTCTGTGTCATTGTTCATACAAAGAACTGCACCCTTCACTGGTACTTACATGACTAGCATTCTAACTCATCTCCCACTTCTTTCAGGTGAAAACATTGAGCCATTAATCTACAAATTGTGGCATAGTGGTTAAAAATATATACGTACTTAATGCAGAGCTCGGCAGCTTGCGACAGAAAAATGAATGGACTATGCGTTAATCCATGGCACCAAGCCTGCCCGGGAGGAAAAGGGTGTTGCTCCCTTCTGCCTTTTTCCCCCTGGACAGCAAGATGGCAGCCGCATTGGAGCTTTTTGGAAAACCAGGTATGAGTCGCTGGTGGTGACCAGGCAACTGAAACCTCATGGAAAGGGGGGCGTTCCCAGCTCATCCTTCACACCCTACAAAGGTCATGAGTCACCACCACCCACGAGCAACTCTCCGGCATGGCCATAGCTCCAGAGTCACAGAAACCAATCTCATAATTATCTGGCTCTCAGAAGAAATACTTCCAGGCTTAATAAGTAAAATATCAGAAATCCAAAATCGTGTGTCTGCAATTGCAGCCGCACGACATCATTTGGTTCTTATAACCAGCTGTAAAGTAAAGTAAAGGCCCTCCTGTTGATTATCGATTTGCTCGAGCGGGCCCAGTAACGTCTCCATTGGAGACTTTGTTGTTACTGTGTCTGGCATATCGAATACGTCACCCTTATCTATGTGCAAGGCAAGCACTTTAATCCCCGTGCTGTCCCTCTGGACAGTACTTGGTTTCAAAAATATGCATAACAAAAAAAACAACTCTCAGAGACATAATATATGCCAATACACAAACACAGAGCTTGCCAGGCTCTGCCATGAGGGCGAGATACTCTCGGTAGCTTGCTGGGCTCTCCGAGAGGGGCGGAGGAATCGAACTCGGGTCGGCCAAGTTGGCTGCGTGCAAGGCAAATGCCCTACCTGCTGTGCTATCGCTCCAGCCCTAACCAGCTGTAGAAAACAAATTATTTCACAATGCCTTTCCAGCAGGTCTGATTTGGGGGTGTAAACTCTAAACAATAATGGTGCCTCTTTTGTCGAAACAATGAATCTAATCAAAGTAGATAGAGTGTTAATTAGAATTCATCTGCCTCACAGGAATTGGGAGGGGTGGGAGGGGGTTATATTGGGGTTCTTGGTGGTAAAAAATAAGTACTGGTGAAGGGAAATGTGTTTGATCATTGCATGACCGAGACTTAAACCTGAAACCTTTGAACTTTTCCCACAGTGGTTCAATAAATAAAAATATATATAAGTACATTAGCACTAATATATATTTTACATTTATAAAATTTTATACTTATACAAAACATAAATTTTATATATTCATACAAAATATTTATATAAATATTTTATATAAATAAAATATATTTATGTAAATTTTTTCAAGTTTCTTTTATAAATTTAGTTAATTAATTAATAAAATGTATCACTGTGAGGTACAGTTACAGACTTACAAACGTTCCTGCTTATGTTTCAGTTATACAATGATCGAGTACCTATCCCTACCCCAGTGGCCATTCTCCACCACCAACGTTCCCAGTATCCCTCCCACCACCCCCACCCCATCCCTCCCTCACGCCCCCTTGCCTCTGTGGCAGGTACCTTCCCTTTTGCTCTCTCTCACCTTTGTGTGCTTTGGTTTGCAATACAGGTATTAAAACTGGCCATCACGTTTGGTCTATAGTCTACTTTCAGCACACATCTCCCATCCCGAGTGGGCTCTCCAGGCATCCTTAACTTGGTGGTCCCTTCTCTAACTAAGCTGTCTTTTCCCCCAGTATGTGAGGCTGGCTTCCAAGCCTTGGAGCCATTCTCCTGGTCCTTATCTGAGCCTCATAAACTACAATTAGTCAGAGTACAATAAATGGCAATAAACAGGTGATGATGCCACTGGAATGCTGGTTTTCAATCTTTCATCCTTGAAGGAATTTTGTGAGGTATGGGAGGTATGTCACTATCTCATCTGTCTTACTGAAAACCTACAGATTATAAATAAATATATAGACATATATGTGTTGTTTCAAACAAAACAAATGGAAATAGTTGTGCAGGTTCCAGACAGATAACTCTAAGGACTAGAGTACACGGTTTGCATGTGGCAAGCCTAATTTTAGTCCCCAGGACTGCATGGTTCTCCAAGCACCACTGGGAGAAAACTTCTAGGCAAA